GTGTTTAAACGAGCCGTTTTAGGTAGGCGTGGATGAGTCTTAACTTTTATAAAGAATATCTCTTTTTGGGTTTGAGACTTTAGTCTTCGCAGCTTCAGGGATCTTATCTATTCACGAACAGCTTGTAACACTCCAAAGAGAAAGGAAAACTTGAAATCACATCATATGACCCCTTTAAGAACCAAGGGTCCCCAAACTTTTGAATGGGGTTATTTTAATAATTTCAGCTATTTTTTTGTCTTGTGGACTAAATGTAAACATCTTTTATGTAAAATATCTTACTCAGGACATTACTAAATAAAAAATAAAAAAACATACATTTTGTATGATCTCTCTTATTTTGTTAAAATTATTCACATTTTCACAGATTCTGCAAGGGGTTCCCAAATTTTCGCATGCCACTGTATCTAGATTGAGTTTTTTTTTACTTTGTGCATTCAACATTTTTGATTCAGTTTAGAGGGAAAATGACTATTTCAGAGCATAGGCTTAAAATGGCTTTCATATAAAGTCACCCAATCCTGTGTACAATGTCCTTAAGATTTTTGAGAGTGGTGTGTACTGTAGATGTTTCTGAAGATGAGACCGTGCTGTATTTTTGAAGATGCTTAAGTGTTATTTCTTGGTATTTACAGCATCAGTATTGTGTTGTGTAAGTGCTAAGAGGTGTTTGTATTACCCTGCTCTTTGGTGAAGTCTGCTTCAGTCATCGTGATGGGCACCAGCAGCTCTCCTACCGCAGGCTGTATGGACACGCTGAATTCATCTTCTTTAGTACTGAAAGAAAAGAGAACAGAACCACATGTCCATCTTTTTTTGTGTTTGCCTTCTAAATACTTTGCCTTCTAAATACTAACTACTCATCAAACGTTTGTGCACGTAGTAAGAAAGTTTAGGGAAAAAATTTATACTGCAAGGATGCAAGGATGCATTAAATTGATCAAAAGTGACCGAAAACACTTCAACATTGTTGAAGTAAATTTCATTTAGTTTCTTTTATCATTTTATCAAATCCTTAAAGGCACAATATGTAAGATTTTTTGTATTAAAATATCCAAAAACCACTAAAACAGTGTTATATATTTTGCTGACTTGTGTATTTACATTATCCCAAATGTTTCGAAGAATGTTTAAATCCAGAGAAATAAGCAATTTTAACTAGTGACACGGACCGTGTCTATAGTGTCACCTGCCAATGACGTCATAACCCCTCGATTTCCGGTTTTGTTTTGTAGAAAACATGGAAACACCAAAGACGCTTTAATATGTTGTGCGTTTTAATGTTGTACGACTGCACAGAGTAGCATAATAACAGAACTTTCAAATGTATCTAGTATGATAAAACCGCGCTGCTTTTTTTCCCCCACACACTCACGACCAGAAGGAGCAGAAGCGGTCGACTGTGGCATAATAAAAGATCCGCTGCTTTCGAGCCGTGTGTCACGCTCGTTCAGCGGCCTCGTTTCGCTTCGACCACTTTCAGCCTCACCCTGCTTCATTCTACTACGTTAATAAATCATTAGCTCATCCATGAACATGATTTCTGCCCGAGTCCCGTCAGATTGCATCGGCTGTAGGGATAAAGACGACAACTTCCATGATTCCACACTCAGTCACGGCGTCATCAAACTACACCTTTGTCTCTTTGTTTATTTTGAATACGCGCCATCTAGTGGCGAAAATTACATATTGTGCCTTTAATTGCCATGTTTTCTCACAAAAATATGAAGCAGCACAACCATTTTCAACACTGACAATAATAAAAATTGTTTCTCGAGTGGCAAATCAGCATATTAGAATGATTTCTGAAGGATCATGTGACACTGAAGACTGGAGTAATGATGCTGAAAATTCAGCTTTGAATAACAAAAATAAAATACATTTTAAAATATATTAAAATAGAAAACATTTTAAACTGCAATAATATCTCACAATTTGTAATCAAATATCTTTTTTAATAAAATAAATGCAGCCTTGGCAAACATAAGAGATTTCTAAACACATTTAAAAATCTAACCACAAATTTTTGAACAGCAGTACATATATGGTATTTAATAGAATATAAAGTATTATAGTATATAAAATTGTATCTTATGGACGTTTTATGTCTACTTAAGGAATGCCTTCTTCAGCTCAGTAACATGATATATTTTTACATTTCTGAGTGAGAAAAAAAGACCAGGAATATGTACAAAGAAAGTAAATAGGATCAATTCTGATGTCACGTGAACTAACAAATTAATGTGATAAAGCCGTAAAACATTCCAGGGAAGTTGTAACAGTGTTTCACAGTTTTTAAACAAGTAAAAATATTTTAATATTTTCCACTGCAACACAATCTATTTTATTTTCGGAACCTCCTCTCATCCCAAAAGAGTAAAGGTTTGCCAATTTACTTTGCAAGTAGACAATTAGCTGAGAAACAGAACTGCTATTACCATCCCACTGGATCAATCATCACTGATCCACACACGAAAGACAGAAAGTAAGAAAGAAAAAAAGAAAGAAAGAAAATAGGAGAGAGAAGGATGAAAGTAATTTCAGATGGAAAAAAGGGAGGAAGGATAAATGGAAGGAAGGAAGAAATGACAGAAGGAAGGAATAGAAGAAAAAACTTAAGGAAGAACAAAGTAAGAATGGAAAGAAGTAAATGAGGGGGAAAGCAAGGTTGGAAGGATGGAAGTAAGAAAACAGAAGAAATGAACAAAAGAAAAAGCAAGGATGATAGAAAGAATAAAGGATGCGCAAAAGGAAGTAAAGATGGAAGGATGGAATGAAGAAAAAACAAAAGAAAGGAAGGGCAAAAAAACAAACAAAGAAAGAAGGGAGAAAATATGAAAAGGTGAGGAAGAATGAGCAGAAGGAAGGAAGAAAAGACAGAAGGAAGGAATTGAGGGAAAAAAACGTAAGGAAGAAGGAAGGAAGAATGGAAGGAATTGAATTAGGGGAAGCAAGGTCAGAAGGATGGAAGTAAGAAAAGGAATGAAGGAAAGAAAAAAGCAAGGATGATAGGAAGAATGAAGAATGAACTAAAGGAAGCAAAGAAAGAAGGAAGGAAGGATAGATGGAGGGAAGAAGAAAAGGGGAAGGGGAAGATGGAAAAAAGGAGGAAGGACGAATGGAAGAAAGAAGAGAGAGAAGGATGAAATGGAGGAAAAAGCATAATGAAGAAGGGAGGAAGGATGGAATGAAGTAAAGAAGGGAAAGGAAAATAAGAAGGACGGGAGGAAGATAAAACAGAAAGGAGGAAGGAAAGATAGAATAAGGAAGACAGTATGGAAGGCTGGAAGAAAAAGAGAAAAAAACAGAAAGAAAGAAAGAAAGAAAGAAAGAAAGACAAACTGAAGGAAGTAAAGATGGAAAGAAGCAAGAAAGGATGGAAGGCCAGAAGAAAGAAATTAAAGAAGGAAGACAGTAAAGAAAGCCAGGAGAATGGAAGGGAGAAATAATGAAATGAAGGAGGGAAGGAAGAAAAGACAGAGAGAAGGAAGGAAAGAATAAAGGAAAAATGTAAAAAGGAAAAGAAAGTTCAAAAGGAAGAATGTAAAGAAGGTCAGAAGAAAGCATAAAAAAAAAAATACTTACTGTAAAAAAGTAATTATAATAATAAACACTATAATTAAAATAGATAAATACTCTGTGTAAAAACGACTATAATTAGAAAAAAATTAATGAATGAATGAACAAATAAATACATAAATAAATACCCTATGTAAGTAAAATAATGTAAATAAATAAACACCTAATGTAAAACAAAAAAAAACTGTAATAAAAATAAAAATAAAAATAAATAATAATATGAATGCCCAATGCACAAAACAATAAGAATACCCAACATGAAAAATAGCAACTATGATTAAAATAAATGAAAAATAAATAAATATGAAAGTAAATACGCAGCAGTTGCCGAATAGGTGTTGATATTGATAAACGTGACTGTTCATGTTGTACTGTGCTCATGTTTGTGTCAATTTCAGAATGATTTGTACTTCAAACTCTTCATTCAAAATCAAGCAAGAGCACGGCAATCCGGTTCTCCATATTATGACCCCTGTGCATCACACATTCACAGCTAGTCCTGTTAAACTCCATTAATTCACGTGTGAAGCTCACCGATAGCATTAAAGTGGTGGATGTTTTGTCCAGTGGAACTCTTCTCAGAGATGTGGATGTTCTCCAGGGCTTGGTCACTACTGTTGCTTAGTGTCAGCTGCAGGGATACCATGCTGTTGCCATAGATACAGGGCTGCCGGGTGAAGCGGTACTGGGCGGACAAACCTTTACCCGTCATCCTGTGGAGCAGCTCATGGGAGGTTTCCGGCACAAACACGGGAAAACTCGCCTGCAGGGAGACACGTACATGCCAAGAAACGGCGTCAAACTGACAAGCAAGAAATACACAAAGACGGAGAAGAGAACACCTGCAGCTGGCAACAAACTGATTAGAAAAGGAAAGAACAATATGTATCGAAAATAATTTGGTAATTATAATCAGCAGCAGTGCCTTCTGGATAATTTGTGGTGGTAAATAAGTAATATTTAAGACTATAGTTGGGTCACATTATTCCTGAACATGTTTGATCTAATTCTTTTTTTGTCTGACCAATGGAAAATGAGAGGAAACCTGTATGAAAACAGTCATTATTTTGGCAATTAATCAACACTATTTCTTTTTCTGTCTGACCCACGGAAAAAAATGTTGCCAATTAATTAAAACTTTAAGACCTAAAACGTGTAAAATGTCAATGTTCAAATAAAACATACAAAAATACCTATTTGCAAACAGACAGACATGAAAGTGAAAAGAAAAAGGCAGTACATAAAGAGCCACCATCAGCCCATTTCCTCCTCTTAATAAAGCCACCTTTGAACTTTTTATCTTAATGCAAAATCTCTGAGACACAAATGAAGATGATAGAGAGGCATAAGGCTATTTTCATTATAAACACATTAGCGAAACCATAGCAAAATGCCTATATAGCGTTAGAGTAATGCTACGATGCTCTTAATGCTGTCTTAGGTCATTTATAAGATAAGCAGAGTGGAAACGGAGCTAGATTTTTTTTCTGAAGAAAATAGTGGTTCTACAACGCATCTGTGCTAAAGTTACCATGACAATGCTAATATCAGTGCATTGTGGTTGCTAAGGTGTTCTGAATGGTTGCTAGGTGGTTACACAAACAATGTGGGAGGAATTGTGTGCCAACATTAAATACATAGGGTCAGGGGTTTGCATTAAGTGTTCTTTAAGCTAAAATGCAACTCCATAACATCATGAACTCATGTTATATAAATGCTCATTACTGACTTGTTTATCATTTCTAACCAATTCCAACAACTGTTTCCAAGACTATCACAAAACTTCTAGATAATGTTACCTTGGTGAAATTTAAAACACAACAGCTGTGTCCAATACAGAAAAACAAATGTTCAAGTTGGCAATAGATAAAAATGCATTAACAAAGACGCAGTGACAAAACAACTGCTCCAGCAAGTGACTGCACTGTCAGCTCTGCAAAAGCACTCCAAATCCAGATAATGTTATGAGCCATAATTAAAGCTTTAATTATCAATATAAAACTAAGGTCGCACAACTATATTGGAATGGGTTAGTAGTAGTGTTAATTTCGTTAACGAAGACTATGACGAAAAATGTTCGTTGACGAGCTTTTTCCCCATGACCAAGACAAGACTAAAACGAGACGACAATAAGGTCAATAAACGATAACCAAGACTATATCAACATGCAATTTTGTTGACGAAATAAAACGAGACTAAAATGTATTCAAAAAGATAAAAACTTGACCAAAAAACCTTTATTTTCGTCAAAAAAGCAGGGGCGGTTCTAGGGGGGGGGGAAAGCTAGTTGGCAGGGGGGCACTGGCCCCCCCTAGAACCACCTTTGGCCCCCCCTAAATTTGGAATCATATCACACCAAACAATTTTGGGTGATATGCGCAGTTTGTCCTGTAAACTATGCATATATAAAAAACGAAAAACATATCCTGCAGCTAAATTCAAATCCGCGTTCGCTGGCTGGCACAGAGCCAGAGACACACACGTTTTTAAAGCACTGCACATTATAACCAATCCCATACTATTATGTTGAGTTTATGAATACAAAGACCAATCAGAGGCATTCAGACGAGTCACCGCTGAAACATGCTGTTTCGTCACTGCGCGCGCTGCCTGACTGCAATCTCTGGCAAATTATCTCATCAGAAACAACATAGTGTAAACGTTCTTTGCTCTCTTTTTGTACAATGAAAGTGTTATAGGCTAATTAGTAACTTACTATGTTTTTATTAACTTCACATTAAATACAAAGTCAGTCGTATTAAATATATTTAATGGTTTGACATATCTGGTACTTAAGTAAAAAGACGAATTTTTATGCAAAGTTAATAGATTAATACTATTAGGCTACTTTACTAGAGCACTAACATAATCTATAAAGGTGCAAAATGCATTTACTTGCACATATTTGAGAATTGAGATATTTCATGATATATTTTGGGAATATTAAAAAAATAAAAAAATAAAACCCCTGCTGAATAAAACATTAGACACCATTTGAAAATTTGTAATGGTTTTACTGGTTATAATGGGACTTGTATTGGTTTTAAGGGAAACTGTAATGGACCCTGTTAGTCTCTACTTGTAATTGGTTGCCTTCTATTGGTGGCTTGTTAAAACCAATAAATCCTAATGGAATATGTCCCCAAACACACTACAGAAAACCATTTTTAATGGTTAGAAATTGATGGTTTGTAATGTTATTTGTTGTGGAAATCATTACAATTTTCTGTGATGGTTTTATTGTTTTATTTTTTTCAGTAGAGACATAAGCCTATATCTGTTTGTGGCTGCTGTGTGTCATATGACAAGCATGAGAGCCCCCCCCCCTTTATTCATGCCACCTCAAAAATGATGCCTCTGACACTACAGTACAAAATTATTCGTCAAATAAATGAAACATGATGAAACATTCATTTTAGTTTAAATTGTTATAGATTACATTTAGATTGCAGCGATACATGACATGGTGAAAAATTACTGAATGAATAATAGGCTACTTAAAGTAGTTTAAGATTCATTTTAAAATTGTGCCCCCTAAAAGCACAAGTGGCCCCTGTCTGGCCCCCCCAGTTACTGTGGTCTAGAACCGCCCCTGCAAAAAAGGAGACAAAATGTTATTGCAGACTGCTCTACTACACGAGCTTTCATGAGTGCGGTTGCCAGATATCAAGAGTTCTAATCCCCGAATCAGAGCTTCGCTGTTAAATTCATACATTTTCTGCCCGGTGTGTTTTGCTTATTTTAAGCAATCTGGCAACCATGCACACACTGCGGAAGCACCACCGCAGATGATCTGAAAAACAAACACGCTGGAGTTTAGCGATCTAAATGAAAGCGTCATTCAGCCGGTCTGTGTTCTGTCATGAGATCTCGCTATATTGTTTGCGATTGTGATCGCTGAATAAATACACTTACTCAATCACTGTTGTTTTAATAGAGAAATAGACTATTGCAATTATGGAATTAGTGGAATTACTAGGAATTTCACTGTTATAATATTTTTCATTTGTTTTAGCTGTTTTCATAATGTAGACAGAGATTGCATAAATCTTTGGTGTTGATTTATATAATAAAAAGCCTATAATAAATCAGTACACTAGATGAGGTAAAATATACCATGTGTCCATTCTATTGATTTGTGCTTACTGGAGAAAGTGCAATACCTGAAATACAACAGTACATTTCTCAAATGACAACAATCATTACGATTATAATTTTGAGAAATTATTATTTTTTTTTTTATCAGTTTAACCATTATACAGAATAACGGAAATGTGACTAATATTTCATTGACTAAAAAACCTGACTAAAATGCTCTTACATTTCATTGAATAAACAAAAACAGGTCAAGTTTGTCTAAATATAACTAAAATGTACATTTGAGTAAGACTAAGACTAAATTAAAAATGGCTGCCAAAATGAATACTGCTGTATGGTTAATTAATAATAATCTTATTGCTAAAATGTCAAGTTTTCATTGACTAAAATACTTTAGATTTTCTTGGACTAAAACTTGACTAAAACTAAATAGGATAAGGTTGACTAAATATGATAAAAACTAACAAGTACATTTTAGCCTGGGACTAAGACTAAGACTAAAATGTAAATAGCTGACAAAATTAACACTAGTTAGTAGTATATAAAATAAATCCAAAACACAGTAAAATTACGAAATATTATTATAATTTAAAATAATGGTTTTCTATTTGAATATATTTTAAAATGTAATTTATTCCTGCGATGCAAAGCTGAATTTTCAGCATCAATACTCCCGTCTTTAGTGTACGATCCTTCAGAAATCACTCTAATATGCTGATTTGCTGCTCAAGAAACATTTCTTATTATTATCAATGTTGAAAACAGTTGTGCTGCTTCATATTTTTGCACAAACCATTTTTTGCAGAATATTTTGATGTATAGAAAGCTCAAAAGAACGGCATTTATTTGAAATATAAATCTTTTCTATCATTATAAATGTTTTTACTGTCACTTTTAAACAATTCAATGAATCCTTGCTATATATTGCTGTATTTCTTTCATAAAAAAATCTCCAAACTTTTGAACGGTAGTGTATAATACTGACCATCATATCAGCTCTCAGCCATAACAAAAATAACCTGCAATCGTATCAGCAAAAATGTCTCTAATGGCGCATCCCTGATTTACACTAGTTTGTTTCAAGAAAATCACTGTAAAGGCCCAAAGAAAAGAAAGGCCAAGCGTCATGCCTGAATTACGTCCTGTGACACCAGCTGCCATTGATATGACGAGTGTGGAAAGACCACTGACATCTCAATGCATTACTCCTGACTCTCTGGATTCTCTCTAGCTCATGTGACAGCAGAACAGATTGGCGGCTGATGGCAGTTTTCTGGCTCTACACTGCACTCCTGAACACCTGGACAGGGATGACATTTCTGCCTGCAATTTATTTGTTGGCCGCAGCTCGGTCTTCAACACCAGCAATCCCTCCGAGCTATGGATTCCATCTGCAACCCAACACTGGAGTATTTTCATAGAGTAATTAGAGGTGTTATAAAAGCTAAAAACAGTGCAATAGAAATAAACTGAAAATGTGCAAAGAAAAATGGCATGCTTTCATATTGTGAATTCTGAAGTACCTCAAGGCTCTGTTTGCGGACCGGTAATGTTTGCACTGCTCAGTTCTGAATGCTTTAACATTTTTAATATTTATAAATAAAATATTTTATTAACAATCATAATACATTATTTTATATATAATATTAACATAAGCATTTTGAT